GCAGGAATACCAGAAGATGCTTAGGTACGCCTGGATGGCTCAGTCAGTTGAGCGCCAGACTCTTGGTTTCGGCTCAGGTCATGATCTCATGGGTAATGGGATGAGCCCTGCAGCATCAGGGCTCCATGCTCAGAGTCGGCTTTAAGATTCTCTCCCTCTGTCCCTCCCCGCCACTTCCGAGGGTGCCCTCGCTCTCTCTCAAATAAATAAATAAATAAATCTTAAAAAAAAAAAAAAAATACTAGAAGATGCTACTTTGGAGAACCCTCAGCTGATCACCAACACCAAATGCACTTTAGCTCTTTGTCATATCTCTGACCGCTCAGTTTACAACCATCCATGGGGGTGAAAAGATAGGAGTGGTGACTAAGAATATGCTTATTGGAGAAGTGCTGGGAAGTTTGTCCTTTAAGTCAAGGTGCTGGAGAAACTGTAATTAACCCAAGAGGTTAATGGAAACTGAAGATCACTTGAAAGTGCAGTAGAGGCTCTCAAATGAAGGCTGCTGCACTTTTCTCCAGTGGAAAGTCCCAAGAACAATCAACAAAAGACCATGAGCCCAGTACCCATTAATGCCAAGCTTTGATGCCCAAGGTCAGGCATAAAGTTATTGGCAGCAGGAACTACACTTAAACTTCCCAAAGGAATTTTTAAGGTTTTATTCTGAAAAGGAATACACAACTGACCTTTCTCTTGATGATTTTCTTAACATTTTCTTTTCTCTAACTTACTTTATTGTAAGAATACAGTATTTAATACATGTAACACAAAATATGTGTTAATTGACTGTTTATGTCATTGGTAAGGCTTCCAGTCAACAGCAGGCTATCAGTAGGTTAAGTTTTCTGGGAATCAAAAGTTACATGTGGATTTTCAACTGCACAGAGGTGCCCCTAACCCCTGTGTTATTCAAGGGCCAACTGTATTATCTGCCCTTGAACTGAGCGAAAAATTACATATTTTGGGCCACTCCAAATAACAGGACTTGTCACCAGGGGAAGATTAAAACACATACACACACACACACACACACACATTTGTGGCCACCTGATAAAGGCTTTTCCCTCCCTAACAGCAATGATACACACACCCCACACTATACAATTTATAAGGAGCTGTTATGTTTTCTCTACCTCCATTTACTAAATGGAGCATATTCTTAAGATTGGGGGGGGGTCACAACTCAAATGCTTAGAGATATGGTGGGTGGGCCAAGTACATAAAGACTGAGGGAGGGCGCCTGGGTGGCTCAGTCGTTAAGCGTCTGCCTTCGGCTCAGGTCATGATCCCAGGGTCCTGGGATCCAGCCCGGCATTGGGCTCCCTGCTTGGCAGGAAGCCTGCTTCTCCCTCTCCCACGCCCCCTGCTTGTGTTCCCTCTCTCACTGTGTCTCTCTGTCCAATAAATAAATAAAATCTTAAAAAAAAAAAAAAGACAGGGAGAGTAGTACATGTCCTTTCCAAAACGAGCACTATGGGTGCTATGCAGGAACACTGACCTGGTGCTACTTATCTTCACATTTTTCAGGCAGAGCCCCAGCCAAATTTTTCCATAAAAAAAATTCCCAATTCTAGAAACTACAACTCACATAAAGCCTGTTTGAGGCCTCTTGGGAACAGCCAGTTTATGATCTCTGTGCACTTTCCATGGCAGACTGGCACTCTCCCTGAATGCTAGAAACACCCAGAGCAGCATCAGCTTTCCCCCCACCTCCATCAGCAGGGGTCCGGATTCAGGACAACCTTTGTCCAGACTCCAGTGTCTGCTATACCCCAAACCCCTTCCTGTCTGCCCTCCAACACCCAGTGCCTGCCCAACATTGTCAGCCTTGAAACCACATGGCACTCCTATCACTTGCTTATCACCTCATCAGCCCCAGACTCCTGAATTACCCCTCTCATCCCCATACATCCTATTTTGTTCCCATCTCTCTTTCCCCTAACTTCCGGGACTTGGGAACTTAGCAACTACCTTAAGCAAAATCTCTCATTTCCTCAATCTCGTCTTGGAACATTCTCATCACTTTCTTACTCTAACCAGACCCTGCTTTCCCTTGAGGACATGCCCAAGAGGGTAGGTCTCCTTGCTCCTGGCGCTGCTTCTACACCATTCACCCTCTGCCCTCTCAAAACTCCAGCTATTAATCTCATCATCAAAGTAGACTGTACCCCACCTTGTGCATCATCCATTAGCCCAGATCACTACTCCTCATGTCATGACTTTAGCTCCTGGCTGTCTCTCATGCTGCCTCTCTCATCATTCTCGGTGATTTCCATATCCAGGTGGGTGACACTCAGACCATCCTGGCCTCTTGGTTCCTAGACCTCTTCTCCAGTGTCAGCCTCGCCCCACCATGGTTATGCCTAGACCTTGTCTCAATAAGCACAGCTTCTTGGAACCTCAGCTCCAAGCGTCTCACTCACTGCCCATTGTATCCCGTCCTTCTAGTTCACTCCCTCCAAAACCTCAACTCCCAACAATCCACTGACCCTACCACCTTTCCTCTAACCCTCAGCCCCCTCATGTCTTCACACAGATCAAGTTCCTTGACCAACTATTACGATCGCCCCCTCACACACATTCACGACACACCTCCCCACCTCACCACACTCATCAAAGCAATCAGAAGGGGGGAAAAAATCAAAACTACTTCCGGCCTCAAATTAAACTACTGAAAGCCTTCAAACAAACAGAACTTCAGATAAGCAAGGTCATTAGTTCACCCAACCGGACAGGAGTACTTCTGAAAGGTCAGGAGGTCCAGCCAGCTGCAGCAGCCAGAAAGGCCACTAGGAAAAGAAAAGGCCTCTGAAGCCAGACTTGACTTTGTCAATTACGACTGTGTGACCTTAGGCAAGACCTAACTTCACCACCGCACCAGGTTGTTTCAAGGATTAAACACATGGGAGCTCAGAGTAAGCAGTAGAGGTTAACCCTAAACTCAGTTTTGTTTTGTTTTTTAAGATCTTATTTTTTTATTTCACAGAGAAAAGAGACAGCGAGAGAGGGAACACAAGCAGGGGGAGTGGGAGAGGGAGAAGCAGGCTTCCTGCCGAGCAGGGAGCCCGAGGCGGGGCTCGATCCCAGGACCAGAGGCGAAGGCAGAAGCTTAACGACTGAGCCACTCAGGCGCCCCCTAAACTCAGTTTTGATAAAGTCCCAGGGCAGGTAACTGGAGGGTACATCCTAACATAATTAGATCAATGAAAAAAGTCCAGAAGGGCTGTCAAATTCTAGACCAGACTGCAAGAATGTTCAACACCTGAATTTTTTTTAATGAGTTGTTTTATTTTTTTAGATTTTATTTGACAGAGAGAGAGAGAGAGAGCACAAGTAGGCAGAGCAGCAAGGAGGGGCAGAGGGAGAAGCAGGCTCTCTGATGAGCAGGGAGCCCAATGCGGGGCTCCATCCCAGGACCCTGAGATCAGGACCTGAGCCAAAGGGAGACGCTTAACCGACTGAGCCATCCAGGTGCCCAACACCTGCATTCTTGATTCCTTGACCTACAGAGCTGATTCTCTCCCCAGTGACCCTGGATATCCCCATTAGCTCGATTTCTCCTCTCTGCCTCTGGCGTGGGGAAATTAACAGCCTTCAGAAGCCACCACAGGTGACGACTTGGTGTACACACACCCTGCTTTCTCTTTCCACCCAAAATGCTGGCCTAGGAAGCCACCTGACTCCTGCCTACTTCTCCCACCTCACCTCCTCCTCCAATTCTCTCCCCACCCCCACTTCTACTCCAGCTAGGATGGTTCTTGTCTTTTCCTTGAATACCACCAGGCTTGCGCCAACCTCGAGGACTCTGTACTCCATTACCTCCAGCTGGACTCTCATATACTAGGTCTTTGTGTTAGGGCTCAAGACGTCATCCTTCACAGAGAGACCTCCCCTGACGACCTGAGCTAAAGAGGCCCATCAGCTAAAATCACGTTGTTTGTGTACTTCACCTTGTTCATTTACTTCTGACTGCTCTTTATCTAAATGTTTACTCACTGTCTCTGTCTCTCCCACTAGAATATAAGCTCTTTAAGTGCAGGGACCCGGCTTGTCTGAGTCACAACTCAGTGTTATCACCGATGCCAGCATCATCCCTGACACATCTGGGGCTCAGTAAGTTTTGCTTGAATCAATGAATTCTTCTTTGAAAAGAAGGTTTTTTCCAAAGCCTGGCTGTGCTTGTCTGAAGCAGCTGAGGTTATGACAACACTTGTTCAAAAAGACCTTCCCAGGCCAAACTTCCAGAGAATGTAGAAATTTAAACTGGGCCTTATTCTCCACCAACCTGTTAAGGACCAGTTCCACGAACCCAACCCCAGCTTCTCAATGCCAATACTCTTCTTACACCAAGGGGTCCCCACTCTTGCACCTTGGCAAAGTTTCTCCCCTCCAACACTTTTGTTCTTCTCCTTCCTTTGGATATCACTGAGAAACACCTTTCTTTTTGGAGGCGCTCTACTGCAACCGAACCAGCTAAGATTTCTCGGGAGGCTGTGGTCCAATATAAAGAGGTGGGCGTGGGGGCTACTTCCCAGAGGCTAAAATTGCCATTACGTCACCTAATCCAACCCCCACCCTCTCAGGCCTGGCCTCCCAGGGATCTCCTGGGCAGCTGAACTTCCCTCCGCCAGGAGGAGGCTGGTCTTCTGCTGGGCCTCTCACCCCCTTCCTGCCACAGGAAGGGCCAATGCCACTCCTTCTTGGTCAGCAGTCCCAAGTCTCCTCCCTCACCCGCAAGAAACTTTCCCAACCCTGGCTCCGCCGCCCGTCCTCACTCCCAGGGGCTCCCAAGCCTCATCCCCAGGCTCAATCTCCCAGAGCCCGCCCCACCACACCCCCTGAGCTTCACCAGGTCGCCCCCGATTCCCTCTCCCGCCGATTCGCCCCGTTCAGACCTTGCCCAAGGCCCCTCGCACCCCAACTTAGCCCCCGGACCCTAATGTCCCGCCCTCGGCCTCTCGGCCTTCCACTCCTCCCGGGAGACCCGCCCCGGCCCTCACCGTGGACGCCACGTTCTCCCTCGGCCGCCTCAGCCCGGAAGAGGAGCAGCGAGACCAGCAGGGCGAGGAGCGCCCCGCACCGCCTCGGCCCACACAGCTGCGCCATGACCGTCTCCACTCGGTAGCGCAGGCGAAGCCTCGAGCAGCCGGCCGTTAGGGTCTCGCGATCAGGTGCGGGAAGACCCTTGCCGCGCACGCGCGCTGGAGAGCCTCGTGTGCAGGTGCGGGCGCTCCCAAAGGGTCTGCGAGGTGCTACGCCGGCGCTCCTGCCGAAGTCCCCGGGAAGACCCCCGCTCGTCGGACCTTCGGTGTGCGGACACTCTGCCTCCTACGCCCACGATGCTTCTGTCCGCCCTTCACTCGCCCCTTGCCCCCGGCGACACTCAGCGACTCTCCCACGGCTCAGAACCCCACCACACTTCCAAACACTGAGCGGGCGCTAGAACCAATGGCGGCCGCCTCCGAGCGGCTATCGAAGGTGGCTGGTCAGGGAGGGGGGCGGGGCGCACCTGGCGAGGCGGGGCGCGCAGAGCGCAGGCGCAGGGAGCCCGCACCTGCGCGGCGATCCTCCTCCCTCGGCGCACCTGGGCTGACCCCAGGATTGGGTGGGGGGAAGGGTGGGGCTTGAGTTGGTCCGCCCAGGGTAGGAGATAGCCTGCGGGGAGGCGCAAACCTGCTGAGCCCTGGGGCCCCCTGCCTCCCTGCTCCGGGGCTTGGTGACGTCCTAGTACCTTCACCCTTGGGCTGGGCGAAGAGGGTACAGAATGCTCTTCCTAGAAGTCTGTGGTTCCTGAAAATGTGGCGATGAAGCTCGCCTCATTTCTGCCCTCCGTTGAGGGTGAGGGATTTATTCCTTCCTAAATTGAACGTTCACTGAACGCCTATTAGGCGCATTACTGGGAACCCAGCGATGACCAAGCCAGACTAGTCCCTTCCTCACCAGACAGGAACAACCGAGAGTAGTAATGACAGAAGCATAGGACAGAGTGATTAGAATGGTTGGGGCTGTGACAGGGAAGCATAGACTGAACGATCAGGGACTGAGGTGGTGGAAGTGCGGAGGTGGCTTTGATAATGTTAAACAGCTTAACAATAACCCACAACCCTCGGACCAACTTGGCTTTGATAATGAACCGTGAAGGATCAGAAGGGCTGATGGACAAACATTCCAAGCGTCCGGAACAGAAAATGCAAAAGGCCTGAGGCAAGAAAGGCAGCAGTGCCTTACAGGATCCAGGGCCACTCCCACTATTCAGCCTCCCTCCTGGCATAATAATATGTGAGGAGCCTTAATTGGGTTATCAGAACGGTGTTTACCTGCAGCAATTAAAGTTTTGTGTACATTTAAAAAAAATTATTTTTAAGTAATCTCTACATCCAACGTGGGGCAGGAACTCAACAACCTCAAGATCAAGAGTCGTGTGCTGGGGCGCCTGGGTGGCTCAGTTGGTTAAGCGACTGCCTTCGGCTCAGGTCATGATCCTGGAGTCCCGGGATCGAGTCCCGCATCGGGC